TCACCATGCGAAGGGGGTTCCTCCTCTAACTCTTGCCACTTCCTCAACTCACTGGTATGTACTCGCCGGTCGACCACCTCGTGCGGTCCCTTCCACTTAGGTAGGAGTTTCTTTTCCCCTGGGACACAATTAGGAGCGCGTTGATGGTCCCTGCATTTCACCTTTGAACCGAGTGGAAACTCGGCACTCATCTTACCATTGTTGGTCTTGGACTTCTCCATTCTCTGCGTCTGTTGCTTTCAGGTTACGTTTGGCTGCCTTCCTGTTATCTTGTGCACGTTTGCGAGATATTCGGCAACGTGGCCACATTCCAACCTCTGGATTCACAGGTAAGCGAGGTGCTCGACCGTACATCAATTGAGATGGTGATTTCTTTGTAGGCCTGTTTGGATGCTCGATGGGTCAGCAACAGCAGTGGTAAAGCCTTTCCCCCGTCTCTACCCTTTGCCGCTTGCCACTCTTTAATCATTCTATACTTACGCTCCGTCAAGCCATTTGTCTGCAAGTGGTACTGGGTTGTCCGCACTTTCTTGATACCAAGTTTCTCCAAGCAGTTCCGGAATTCCTCACTCTCGAAGCATGGACCTTGATCCGTTAATATGGCCTTCGGGATTCCGTGATCCGCCATAAAATGTTTCACGACGGCATGGGTAATGGTGGTCACCAGTTGATCCGGTATTCCCGTTGCCTCAAACCAGCGTGTGAAGTGCCCCATCATCAACAAGATGTATTGGTTGCACCGCCTGGTCAATGGAAACGGTCCCATCACGTCGATCGACAATAGTTCACCAATTTCCAATACCGGAATCGACATCACTGGTTGTTGTGCTCCTCGGCAGTCGGTTTCAAGAGCTAACATTGCTTGCAGGAAAGCACGTATGTCTCGACGTCCCTCTTCATGCTCAGCAAACTGGCGCGTTGTTTCAGCAGATCGTAGGTCCTGGAACAACCGGTGTGCGCCATCTCGTGACAAGAAATCACCAGCCTCCGCCTTAGTTTCGTCGGAACAACCGTCACCGAAGTGTTGCGACCTCCTGGTATCCACATCAGGATCCCAGCTTCATTTCATTGTAGCTATTCAAGATTTCCCCAAACGGTCCGAGCTTCTTGTGTTGGCTCTTGTTTAGGACTGATTGTCCGGCTATTCGTGCAGTTATTACTTTATGCAAGAGTTTGTCACTACGTTGCTCGGTTGTCCACTGTCCTGCTCCAACAGCATACCAATAACACTGAAAGCCACACTCAGCAGGTTATCTTCGTTCATCATGCGTGACAGAAAATCCGCAGTTTGCTTCTCCTTCCCCAGCATGTGGTTTATCGCGAAAACGGATTCCTGTAGGCGCAGCGCCCATCGCGCTAGCTTTCCCCTCGGGTCTTTGGCAGACTTAATCCATTCCAAAGGCTTATGGTCCGTTTACACGTGAAATCACTAACCTAACAGATAACGCCGCCATTTTTCCAACGTGCAGACGATTAGGAGACATTCCTTCTCTATCCTTGAGTATTTGTGTTCTGCCTGTGTCAAAATTCTGCTGACATACTCAATCTTCCTATGGCTTTGTTTCAAAATCGCGCCGACTCCGACGTTGCTGGCATCCGTGGCCACCGTGAACATCTCTCCAGCAATAGACAATTTCAGAGTCAGCTGCTGCCTTCACATTTCCTGCAGAATGCGATCAAAGGCTTGTTGGACTTCTGCAGTTCAAGTGAATTTCTTATCCTGTTTCAGCAGCTCCTACAAGGGTGAGGCCAAATTGTTGAATTCCTTGACGAATTCGCTGTAGTACCCAGTACGGCCCAGAAACGCTCGGAGAGTGCGCTTTGAGGTAGGAACTGAAGTGCCTTGTATTGTCAATATTTTCTCAGGGAGTGGCTTCAACTCACCTTGTCCCAATGTTTAGCCCAATAAGGTGACACAACTCTCCAAGATGGGATTTCGGTCCATTTATACGGAGTCCAGACTGCAGAATGCGTTCTAAGACTGCTTCGAGATGTCCACTGTGCTCCGCTTCTTATTGGCCATACACCACGATATCATCTCCGAACACCGCCACGTTCTCCAAGCCACTCAATAAGCGAAGCATTAAGCGTCGAAAGGTAAAAAGGGCTCTCGATAATTCAAAAGGCTTTTTTTAATTGGTATTATTTTTCATCGACAGTAAACGCCGTTTTTCTCGGTCTTCTGGTTGGATTGCCAGTTGCCAGTATTCAGATCCAGAACCGTGGATATCCTCGACTGTTGCAATCTATCAAAAATGCCAGCAACTGATGGCACTGAAACGAAGCGACTCAAAAGATTTCATCCAGCCTTCGGAAGTCCACACAGAAACGGTACTTCCCATTCGTCTTCTTCACCAAGACCACTGGAGAATTGTATGGGCAGTGCGTCTCCACAATCACATCCACGTCCAGCATCTCCTGTATTTGCCTATTCACTTCACCCTCCAGATGGAGTGACATCTTTCGGGGTCCATGGGGTCGGTACTTCTGGCGGGTTAGCGGGATAGTGTGCTTGATCCAGTCGCAAATTCCATACAGGCTGCCGTCATCCGTAAACAAGGGGTGATACTTTGTGATCAATGACTGTAATGCCGGGTTCAAATGTAACGCGGTAACGACCGATTGAGAAGAGATCATTTCTCCACGGTCAACAGGTGGTAACGATCTGCATTCAGTCAACAATTTCCCACGTTTTAGATTGACGATAGCCTTGTTAAACTCTAAGACATTTGCTCCCAATATGGTCTGTTTCGCATCTGGTGACACAGCTTAGTTTAGTTAGGGACACGTTAGTTTCCGTCCCCCGATTCCCACCATGTGTTCAGCCATACCATCAATGCCTACTGAGTGACCGCCAACAGCTCTCACGACCATGGAGCACGATAAAAGCTGTTCCCCCGGCCGATGATTGATCAGTGACTGCGGCATCCGTATCGATCAAACACCGTGCCATTGTTCCGTCTGCTTCCACCATTGCTTCAATCGCCCCTACTCAGCGCCCCGAGTACACATTCCTCGATCCGAGAAGAAAAACAAGGTTGAATGCGTTTATTTGGTACACAAGTAGCAGCACGCCTCACCGGATATTGTCTTTTCCAGTGCCTCGGTTTCCCGCAAAGGAAGCAACATCCCCTTGTTCGCTCCTCCGAGCGCTGAACGCGAAGCCCATTGACGTCTTCTGCGAGCTGTTATATCATCCGTTCCTATTTATCCATCTGCTCCATGCCCTCATGCGGTTCCTCCTTCAGTGCAGCGAGTGGTGCGTCGCCCAGCTCTCGAGTAATCTGTGCCAACTCCTCCAGCCGCATACGCGAGTAGCATTCGCGAACCGGCCGCGCTCCGCGGTCGGCTGTGGGAGACCGGTCATGTATTGATCCACCTGTAACTGCTGTTTTGACGGCTCGTTCATTTCCGGCAACGCTCGGTCTAACAATCTCCTGAGGTGGACTGCAAACACGAGGGGATCGGCCCCTACAACAAGCCACGTCGCCTTGAACCGCCGCAACGCCTCCTGGCGGCCGGTCGGTGTGTCTAATCCAGAGACCAACGCATCCTCCGCGGCAGCCCACTCCAATTTGACGGGGCCTCTTCGCGCCGCCTCCAGAACTGCCTTCGCTCTTTCTTTGAGGAGACTCCGCAGGGCCACCAGCTTCACTCGGTCGGTCTTGACTCCAATCGCCTCCGCCACATCCTCGAAGTCTCCAAGAAGGTCCTCAAATCCCCTTTTTCTAACGCTCCGGTAACGGGATCATCATGATGCACGTTGGTTGGTCACGGCACAAATGCTAAAACCCGAGGTTCTAGCGGACTTGTTTATTGTGCAAACATAGCTAATACTAAGTGCATCCATTCCGACAAATGAGATATCCACCCATCTTCGTCATCCAGGTTGATGATTACATACCGCGAGTTTCTTTCTGTGTCTAGTAATTGTGTATTGTTTAGGTGTCCATTCCCCGTGCACAAACAACTGCGGTTTCAAAGTGTTTCTCTTCTTTAGGGGAGTTAATATGGCCTGCTGTTGGCTGGCTGCTGTTTCGCATCCTTGCACCACGCTACTGATAACCGGCACAGTAGTGTCTGCTTTTAGTCCACCACAGTTCGAGCTATCACCGAACAGCGACTGAGAGTGGTGGATCGGTTCACTTACCTTGGTGGTAAGATCAGTGATGAGGCTACTTCGCGTATCAGCAAGGTCGGTGTGGCTTTCCAAAGGCTCAACGATCTATGGATGGCGGGATATTTGCCAGTCAGTGAAAGGTAGGGTATATAACGCTGCGATAAGAAGAGTTTAACTGTGTGAATCAGATACCTGGCCAGTTAGCGGCGACGACATTAAACGCATGGGCTTGTTTGACAACCGTTGCTTGCGGAGGATTGCTCAAGTTTGGGGGAACACCGGGTCAACAATGCTGAAGTCTGCCAGTTGCTTTTTGTTAAGCAGCCTTCTGGTTCCTCACTCGAATATGTGCTGAATCTTAATCGCATACGTTGGTTAGGCTATGTCCCCCCGTCCGCCTGTTGACCAGCATCCTCAACGTGCATTATGTGCTGTGACTGCGCCAAGTTGGGTGAAACCGTGAGGTGGCCAGCTGATGACATGGCTTAAAGCTATGAAGAAATTGACTGAGAGACTTGGTCAGGCTGGTGCGTGCCGTCTTCGTGGATGGGGACCCCGGGATGGTCCGCGCCAATGGGTGGAGATCGTACCAGACATGGCGCAGTCACGTAGTCATTTGCGTTCCCGTATTAGGTTTCTTGCATCTATTCGTTATTATCCATTCCATTCCGATTGATTATATGCATTTTTTCTTAAACCCCTTTTACAAGTATTCTGTTTGCGTGGTACCTCCTTTTCTCTCTAATTACTACGTACCGTTATCCTAGCGGCGCGAGGCGCGACAACTGGACGCACTTCTGTGTCCGGATCATGGTTGTTCAACTGAATTGAATGGCGTGAAGATCCACATCGATGTGTGACAAAATGTCTGCAAACCAACTTCTCAAATCTCCCTGATCTGTTTCAGAATCGATAGAGTTCACGGTCAACCGAACGGGTAAGCATGCAGGTTGAGCAAGAGAATCTGTTAAACATGTGAGAGGGCCAAGAGCAAAGGGGGCGAATCCAAAGTGCATGGCACAGAAAGAAGAATCCTGAAAACAACGCAGTGCGTGAGCAACCAAAAAAAGCGGACGAAAGAATAATTGCAGCAACCATGTCATTAGTAAATCGCATCCAATAGGACGAAAGCGTCTACTTCATGGATAAGAAAATCAAGGTCAGAATGAGTGGTCATATGCGGGAAGTAAACAGACCATGCCAGTGCAACAATTCCCAGTTCATTTCCATGCGAAAATAAATAGGTACAGAAGGCTGGTGTTCTAGTGGCAACAACCGGATATCAAGAAACAAAGTACCCGGAACAGCCTAAAAGAAATTGAAGCACACGAGTTCGAGAATACTGATCAGAGTGTGATGTCGCCCGCTTAGTCCATTGCAGTCAGTATGAAATCAAAGGTTGGAAACAGACAGTACCGTAATAGATTTTCTCAACGTAAACTACGTCGAACCTGAACGAAGTGAAACTTGGGCACTGCTGAGAAACATGTAGGAATAACGGACGCGTACAGGACAGTGCGACAGCAGAAGGTGCCGAGTAGCACAAACAGGTGCATCACTGTAGCGGTTTGCCAGATGGATGAGCAACAGGCGATCGATGGGATGGAATTGGTAAGTGAAATTAAGAAACATAATCACCACCTGTGTAGCCACATCGAAAATCTGCTGGCCAATATCTTGGTGGTACAACATAGATGAAACCGCCTCAAGAGAATCATAAAGATTGCTACCAGATGGGCTATGTTAACGCTGCCAGTAGAAAAAGTGGCAGTGCCGAAACGCTAATATACATACACACATTTCAAACCGTGCGCATTAAAGCAAACAAGTAGGCGAAATGATAAACACAAAGCCTCTGCAGTTCAGCAAAAGATTCGCGGTACGAATGACAAAGTGTAACGCGATAAGTCGTATTCGTTTGCATCAGTGTAGTGATAATTAGTGATGTCATAATGAGGACGAATAAAGAAAAACAAGTAACAAGGAAAATCGAATTTATGGATTGGCGGCATCCGTATCCGGATTTGACTCACTGGCGGCTCCATGGCGACAGCCACAGGACACCTGCGCCTAGAAAGGGACCACAGGTGGCTTGCGTTGCACCACCCACACACCCCATATCCAGTGTAAACCCGAAGGAATAAGACCGGGAGGCATGCCGACGGGAGCCACGTTTCACCAACGGAGCTGGATCACACTCCTTCACAGACAAACACAAGTACGCTGTATTTGGGAAATCAAGCGCACACAAGGCGGTGGCTGGACCGTAGTCCGCTCCACACTGAGTGCATGGAACCGCTCTTCGAGCATAGCACGGCCACAAGGACCGTGCACCCCGTCCCACCCCCCAGAAATGACCAACTGTCTCCTGGAGCCAGTATGGACGAGGTAGTGGGTAATAGACAGGTAGGCACCTTGTCAACATGCACATCAAGCGCAGTCACACGTGGGATGTTAAACAACAGCCAATCATTCGAAATGCCGATATCGAATAAAGTAAACGCATATGATGACATAAATACTCACTAAATGAGCATATAGAAGAAATTGGTTATGTGAATCCGTGATAAGTACAAAAGGTCCGTAAGTTACTTAAAAATTACCACGCGATAAAATTACGCAAGTTTACCACAATTTGCGTGAGCGACGTGTGCAAGTAAGGAGAAGATTATCAAGTACGCAGAACAAACCAAATAGCATGTAATGAATTTTATCCACATTAAAAAGACCTAGTTTAAGTGTAAGTTGGTTTAGCCCAACTGCGGTGAAGAAGCATCATGAATGCAACACCCATAAGTACATACTTACATACCCCCTACAAAACATACACTGTTATGGCAAACATATGGGATTTTGCACATTCTTGATCACGCATTGTCATGTCAAAATGATTATGAATTTAAAGGCGTGCCTCGCCTTGTCGAGAATAAAAACTTTGTTTATTTATTTATATTCAAATTATAGCTATCTTATGTATTAGGGGATTAGGCGGTTTACCTGTTGGATGGTTATTCCTGCTTGTTTGGAATACGAACACGATATCCGCCTTTGGCCCGCGTGACTGGACTGCGAACGACGAATTCCGTCAACTCACTCGACGCCCAATCACATCCCTCCTAGCTAGCTCTTTCCTGGTGCCATATCTTTAGCATTAGCTAACTCTCCTACTGTGCCATAAACATTTCCCTAGTTTAACTTATCTGTGTGCTACCCATTGCTTTTGGTTGGCCTCTCGTACCGGATATATAGCGCACGATCATCGCGCTATAATTGGTGACCCTGAAAAAGTTTCTTTGAGTTTGATACTAATATTTCATTTCAGATCCGGTAACTTATTCTGTCTACTATTCTATTTTTACTTTTACTATTTGAGTCCACTTTCACTAGCTCCGTATTTCTTCACCATGAGTCATTCACCGAGATTCTGACGATCAGGTCAGTGGGTGACGTTTCCCTATCCCGCCTTTCCGAGAGACTAATCCTAAGGCCTGGTTTAATCAGCTAGAATCCATTTTTTCGCTACATGGCGTTAAGTCTGACTGTCAAATTTCACTGAGTTTTCGCAGCGGCTCCTGGTGCCATATTTTTAGCATTAGATAACTCTCCTCCTGTCTCATAAACTTTCTGTGTGCTACCCATTGCTTTTGGTTGGCCGTTTAGTCTCGTACCGGATATATAGCGCGCGATCATCGCGCTATATGCAGCTAATTTTAAGCGGAGGGCGTCAGGTCGCAAGTAATTTCTTCGTTGCACTCGTTGGACATTGATAGCCAACTGTCGTGTCCCCAAAAAAGAGACAACACAGTGATCACTTTTGCCAAGAGGATGAAGAATGGCTAGAGCGGAGACATCTGATGAGCCAGGTGTGAGCACAAGGTCAAGGATGTGTGGTACATAGCCCGGAAATAAACGGGTAGGTGATAAAACTTGTTGCGTTTGATTACATTCGGGGACTGTTTCTAATAAACGCGTATCAAAAGCATCTGGAGAAGAATTACAATGAAGCGCATCCATCTCTACGGCCGGAGCATTGAAGTCACCCACAATCAAGCAATCTTTGCCTCCCCCGTGTATGCTCGAGTATAGCAGATGGGATCCAGACCCCAAGGGGAATCTGTAGATAACGCCGACTATGAGCGGTCTGAACCCATCATGAAACTTACAGTAAAGAATTTCCGATCCTCCTTCGAGATCAGACATAGCTTCCACTGTGTGAACTTTAAGGCCTGACTTCCAGTAAAGAGCAACACCGCCGCCGGATCTCCCTCCTAGACGATCCGCACGGGATAGTTGATAACGTGAAATAAATACCCCTGAGTCTGAAATATCCGAGGATAGCCAAGCGTCCGTAAAAGCCATCAGATCGGGTGCTTGCTCCGAGGTCATGAGTAGAATCTCATCCAATTTGTTTCTCAAACTATGCAAGTTCGCCGATATCACACGCAATCCACTCGTGCTTCTCAGTGCACCGGAAGAATGAAGATTGGTCTACACCTAGTCCACGGGACTCCTTTAACTACTCGAAAATCTACAATGTGAAAAGTCGCTTTCACCAGCTGCCCGTCGGATTCGTGGTTCATCAACGGCCTGCTTCATTTTAACTCGATCTTCTGGGGATAGGTCTCTCAAAACACGTAATGTTTCTTCTTTTAGGCGTGAGGTTCGCTGGAGGATACGGCGG